CTGGGTGGTGAGGGTTACGGGGGCGAGAAACTCAAAAGTAACGCAATAGTTACTTTTACTAGTAACTAGTTACTTTTATTGTGGAGTAACTCAGTTAGTAACTCAGTTACTTTTTGGGAGAAGTAACCAGTAACTATAACTAATTACTTTTTCAAAGTAATGTGCCCAACACTGCCAGATTCATTGGAGCTGTCTACCAGGTAGTTTTAGAGAAAGTCACCCTTCCATCTGCTGACAGGAGATGCTAATTTTATTTTTTTCCACCTGCCTGCATGGAAAACACGACCAATAATAAAGATATGGTGTCACTGGGCCTCCTGACTAAACTGGCCTGATATAAAACCCTTTAGACACTATCCTCCAGAGAAAGATGAGATCAGAACCAATCCTTAAGGCCGTTTCTCAATTCACAAGAACGCAGGCACGGACTCGTGTCCTCGCCAAGTACGTTCTTGAGAAGAACACAGGGAAGTCTGGACTCCGGGAGACCAGGAGCATGCAGCATAAATATGGATCAAAGCTCGTCTGGAGCTGCATTTCACCTCCTGTTAATAATAGTCGCTAGATAATAATAAATTCTTACTTTTTTCATTTTGTGGGGTAATAATAAACACAAATAAAAAAAATGTTCCAAATAAGACAAAAAAAATCGCCATCAGAGCCAGCGGTCCTTCATGCACCATTATGCAGAGAGAGGGCTGCTGCAGACGGGCTGTGGTTACCCTCTAAAGTCTGCTAGTTGCCATGTTCCTCTCAACTTTGGAACTTTTTTTTTTATCACACAGAAGAAATTTACTGTAAAATGACCCATTTAAAAGATTTTTTAAAAATGAACCAAAAGGCTCACATTTAACTACTAAATCCATTAAACCTTTTCACGAGGCTCCTCAGGGAACTGAGGAAAACTGATGTCTGGAATCCCAGAAGATCAGAATAAAAACAATGACATAGGAACGGCTTATTCGACCCAGCTTTAATCCCATAGTTCGGCTGTATTGTGATGAGATCCTTTGGATAAATTAGGATTATTTAATTTTCCACTGATTCGATTGTGTCACTGATTACGTTCTAACAGGTCAATTTCACCCTGGTTGCCGGAAACATGGAGGATGTGTTCATGATCAAAACAGTGAACTACAGCTACGGAGAGGTCTACGTAAACGCTCCTCTGGACAGGGAGTCAGTGGATCGCTACTTATTGAAGGTCAGAAACCAGTGCTTGTGTAGCTATGACAACCAGGTTTCAACCACCACATACTCTCTCTCTCTCTCTCTCTCTCTCTCTCTCTCTCTCTCTATATATATATATATATATATATATATATACCTTTATAACTCTTTAATTTTCCACACATAATTCTCAAATCTAAATTTTCAATTTTTTTCCTGAAGAGGTTCCCATCCTCCTTAATTTCTGTTCACTTGTGTTTGTGCAGATCCGTGCCACTGACAATGGCACACCTTCCAGACATTCAGACCACTCTCTCACCATCAACATCCTGGATGTCAACGATAATCCACCCATTATCGAGAGTCAGAGAGGCTACAACGTCAGCGTCAACGAGGTGGGAATGCATTCGCGCTTTATTTCGTTCATATGGGATCTACCTGCAGACCTTAAGGTCGGTTTGTCGTAAAGATCGATCGTTTTATCTTTGGCAGAACGTTGGAGGAGGTACCTCAGTCCTGAAGGTCATTGCTACCGATAGGGACATTGGTCCCAATGCCATGCTGTTTTATTACATCACTGCTGGAAACCAGGACTTGACTTTCCGCATGGACCGCATGACTGGAGAGATGGTGACCCGGCCAGCCCCTCCTGACAGAGAGCGACAGCAGGAATACCACCTCATCGTCACCGTGGAGGATGACGGCACCCCCCCTCTGTCGGTAAGATCCAAACTAACACAGTCAATGTTTCGTCTTTGAAATCGCTACAAGACAGTGGCGGCTGGTGGAGTTTTCTCCAGGGGGGGGCTACAAATTCAAGATAGACATATACCAAAAACCAACAACAACAAACATTTATGAAAACAAAACATAATTCCATGTACGGGTTTACTTTTTGTACATAAATCTTAGCTCTTCTCAGGCTTTGTGGGCAAATCTGTGTTTTTCAATGGTCCAGTGTTATGGAGGACCAGCTCTACCATATTTAAAAATCGATACGGAAGTAAATAAATGCTCAATAAATAAATAAGCATACAATTAATTGCCCCAAAAAATACAATAAATAAATAAATGTAGGTAGAAATACATAAATGTATATTTGTCTTTGAATTAGCTTCTTTATTTATTCACCTTTACCTCATTTATTTACTGTCCGTCATAATCTTCATCTTTATTTATTAATGACTTATTTTTGCAATAAAATGCTAACCAACCAATGGGCAGAAGTTGACCCTCTAAGACACAGCCCCTCTTCATTTGCATAATGAGACAGAAATGCATACAGAGATAGCATTGAAGAAATACATAGGGTAAAAAAAACCCACAAATGAAAAATAAAAGAGACAAAAATAGTATAAGATGCACATAAATAAACATTATAATTAAATAATAATTAAGAGCAATAAGTTATATATTTTTTCCAAAAAAGTAAAAAACAATTAAAACAACAAGTTTGAAGACGTGTCACTTCCCATCCAGGAAGCTTTTTCAATTCAAAATGTCAGAAATAGTGTTGTGTTTGAGGCTTTATGGAGTGGACCAAAAAAAAAACCTTGCAAATTGAACCGGACAAACAGGTCGGCCCCTTAGGAATGAGGGTCATTTGGGTTCTTAGGTAGCCTGCAATACCCGATACATGTCTTTGTCTCTGAAAGATGGGGTATTAGAGTGAATTGTTGGCCTGGCTGAACAGGCGAGGTCTTCTGTTCCCTGTAAGGGGTTGGGGGTTGCGATGATAACGGGAAGGAATCAACTCAGTTGCTTTATTGTAGGTTTTTGAATGGCTTTGAGTCCCCTCCCTCTGTTTAAGGTTGGTTTTTCTATTTCAACATAGATGGCTTCCTTCACGCCCCTCTCAAACCACCTGTCTTCTTTGTCCAAAATGTGAACATTCTGGTCCTCAAAAGAATGTCCTTTGTCCATAAGGTGTAGACGTACTGCAGAGTCTTGTCCCAAGGAGGTCAATCTCCTGTGGTGGGCTACAGAATGTATCTGTGGAGAGGTTGTTTGGTTTCTCCAATATAAAGATCAGAACTTTCCTCACTGCATGGAACCGCTGACACCACTCCATATTTGGTCTGGGAGGTTTTGTCTTTAGGATGCACTAGTGACAAGTTATATGTTATGAAAATTTTTTTTTTTTTTTTTTTTTTTGAGTTAGCATATCAATGCATTTCCCAAAATAAAGAATTGCACATAGATATTATAGCTGTATTATTATTTTAACGGTTTTAATCTTTTGACCAAAGCACTTTACACTTCATTCAGTCATTCATCCACAAGCTGATGGTGGCAAGCTACATTGCAGCCACACCTGCTCTGGGGCTCACTAACAGAAGCCAGGTTGCCGTACCCTGGTGTCACCGAGCCCTCTGACCACCATCAGGTGAAGTGTCACCCAAGGACACAACAATACTGACAGCAGGAGGCGGGGTTTGAACCGTCAACCCTTCGATTTCAGGGCAAACTCCTTCATCCAACGCCACTGTCGCCCTTGATATGTTCATCTGCTGTTTATTTTTTTTATCATGTATAATTATTTTTGCTTAAAAAATGTGTCTTTTTTCTTTCTTTTTCATTGATAATCTTCTTTAGGAGATATTTGGTGTAAAATTAGAGGAAAAAATGCAGATCTTAAAGGAATAGTACACCCAAAACATGATTAGCCTTCATTTTCTACTCACCCCCATGCTGAACAACACTCTGGAGTACTTTTTTGATATCTCAAATGCATCTGGAGATCTGGGAGGCTTCTTGCTGTCTGCTGACATTCAAATAATGGAGGTCTATGGCGCCCGAGGCAGAAAGGTCCATAAAAGTCCACAAAAAACGTGTCAATATTCCTCCATACTGCTCGTCCAATGTATTCCAAGTGTCCTGAGTGGGTAGCATCCAGAATTTACTCGAAACAAAGTCATTTAGAATGTTTTTAGAGCATAAACAGTAGTGTATAGGATTTCCTAAAAGTGCGTTCACGAGTCTACAGAAACCGCGGCAGACCAAACCAGATGAAAGTGCGCATTCAGCGTCTGCTCTGCCGATAATGCAAGCGTAGAAGAAGAAATGTGCTGTTTACCTGTGCAAAGAAAGAAACAACGAAAGAAAAATGTCTGAGGACTTCAGTGTTGAGGAAGAGCATGAGTTCTTTGCCGAGCTGAATGCGCACTTTCATCTGGTTTGGTCTGCCGCGGTTTCCGTAGCGCCGTGAACGCACTTTTAGGAAATCCTATACACTACTGTTTATGCTCTAAAAACATTCTAAATGACTTCGTTTCGAGTAAATTATGGACGCTACCCACTCAGGACACTTGGAATACATTGGACGAGCAGTATGGAGGAATATTGACACGTTTTTTGTGGACTTTTATGGACCTTTCTGCCTCGGGCGCCATAGACCTCCATTATTTGAATGTCAGCAGACAGCAAGAAGCCTCCCAGATCTCCAGATGCATTTGAGATATCAAAAAAGTACTCCAGAGTGTTGTTCAGCATGGGGGTGAGTAGAAAATGAAGGCTAATCATGTTTTGGGTGTACTATTCCTTTAAGCTCTTTATTTTCTCTCTCAGACCAGAGGTCTTGTGTTTACTCACCAACAACCTGTGGATGAGATGATGAAATAAATCCACCTCTTAATGATTGTAGTGCAGTACGCAGTGTTTTAAAGTATGCATGGAAACCCTCGGCATCCTGCTGCTTCTCCATGATGTTTGCTCCCTGATAACAGGATGAAGTGTTTGCATTAGAGACAAATTAAAGACTTTGCTTATTTTTCTTCAGCCGACTTTATGGCATCAAGCTCCCCAACAGCTAACATGCTAAAGTTCAATAAGAAACCCGTAACCTGAGGCTGCATCCGCCATCCCATGTTTCCCACATCTTTTTACCTCCTGATATATTTTGCACTCGCAGTTTAAAGTAAGGAAACAGTTTGACTCAAATAAATAAAGATAACCACAATTAGTTATTTTAGTTTATCAGTTCTATTTTTTTTTCTCATTAAGTAAATCCTCTGGACCAAATGAGGCTCACGATAACAATAAATAGAAATACAGCAAAAGATTAAGATTTCTGAAAATAATTTACAATTAGTTTAATTTAGACCAGATATGGGAGTTTTAGTAAATATCAATATTTTAATTTTACTTTAAGCAAAAGCTGACTGATAGACAACGGTTTGAATACATTGGTATGAAAGGGAAACATGTGGGGAAGAAAGTTTACTGTAGTTTACTTTATTGCTGTAGATTACAAACCACAGCAATAACATCCTTTTTATTTGGTGGAAGATTTTCTACTTAAAGAAAATAAAAAAAGTATGGTATTCATTTCAGTCCTTAAAGTTACTTTTCATGTGTTTTATTCTACGATATCTAAACTTACAAAGATACCAGATTCCACTAAAATTAAAGACATTAAAAAGGTGAAAACTATAGAGATCTACCAAATTAGATTTTTAAATGTTCTTTAATCCCTGGGCATAAAATAAAGAACAGAAGTTTTTTTAATCTAATCTAATTCTAAACAAATTGCACCAAAAACATGCTTTATGATGTCAATTCTGATAAAAGAGTTGAAATTTAAAACTATTTTTTTAATGAAAAATGTATTTATAGTTTTTTGTTTGTTTTTTTATCAGATCTAATTGCACACAATAATCTCTCTTAGCCACTAAATAGAAAAATGGGTTACTTACAGATCCAGTTGGGGTTATTTTGTTTTATATCTTATGTCTGGTAATTATCTCACATTTCTTTATGATTAAAATCACTACCTTCTGCGCCTAACCAACACATTCTCTCTTGTTTTTTTTCCCTATTTGCATCCAATATTTCATTAAGTTTGAGAACATTTAAATATAATTATCCAGCGCAGCGTCGCTACTAAAACTACTCAGCAGTCCTTATTCTATTTAGTTTTTTTTAGATCCAGCAATGATACAGGTATGAAAACAGATACAGATCACCTAAACTAAAGGCAGCGCAAACTAGCTGCAAACTCAGGAAACGCTGTTTTGTCAACAGGAAAGCCACAAGTCACATTTCCTAAAAGACATTGTTAAGCAGTGGTTTTGCTCTTATAAAAAGCTGTTTAGATGTCTGTTCAGATGGAAGCCATTCGCAGCTCTGCAGGACGTCGTGGGTGGCAAAAATCAGAGATGAAACGCTCCTGTTAATGCGCTGTACAAACACAGTTAAAGTGAAACTCTTTCTGCTCTCATATAAAACCTTGTTTTAGTCGTCTATCCTCTTTTTTTGCTGCACAGCCTCTCAGAGGCACACAGTTGGAACGGCCTTGTTTTATCTGGATGACTCCCTGGACGGCAGCTGTAAAATGTCCTTGTATGGCGACGGTTTTGTGGATCTGTCATCTGAGAGGAACAATGATTTCAGAGACGACACAGAAGGCATTTTATAAGGCTCCGAGAGTTCCCTTTATTGTACAGGCTACCGAGAGGACAGTTTAAAAGGAAGAAACTTCCTCTCACGCAAGCTTTTTACAGTATAAAAACACAATAATACAAAGTGATCTTTTTTTTTTTTATGAGGGAAACTAGAAAATCAGTTCTTAAAGCTCTGAAACACACAAATCAGCAGGCTTACATCTCAACAGATCTCCTACCAACCTGTTAAACACTTTCTTCTGCAGGTGATTTCCGCTAAGCACCAGCTGCATGCGTTCTACAGTTTAAAAATAAAACCAACAGCTGGGGAAGTCATCCAAGACCCTACGTTGGTACAATTGGTCTTCGGCTCGGATTTCAGACCCGTTTAACAGATTTTGGCTTATCAGATCTAATTGCACACAAATAAAAGCCCGGCTGAACCTTTACCCTGATTAACATAAACATTGTGAAACACACAGGAAGGGTCTTAATGGCAGTGAGGTCAGCTGCTGTTTGCTGGTATCCACAAGGCTACATTCAACATAAAATCTTTTCTTTTTCTTCATTATTAAACACAGAGACCACAATGAAATCTTTCCCAAATAAACTTTAAAACAGCAATAAACAGTTTAAGGCTATGGTGCAGTTTAAGCAGCGTATGGAAAAGACAGAAGAGGCATAAGTCTGAGGTAGCACAGAGGAACAAAGAAGAGAAGCAATCTTATATATATATATATATTTATGCATATATCATACAGAGAGGAAATGTAATGCCACGTTTTGGTCTTGTAATATCTAAAGCTCCTTTCACAGAACAGTTCAGTCATAAAGCAAAAGCATGCCACCTTTTAAACTGCTCCAGAGCTTTTCTTAATTAAACCCAAGTCTTGCACCGACGTCGGCTTTGACCAGCGTGCAGTAGAACTCTATCCTATGACATATTGGCGTCTATCTCCCGATCCAAGGTAGAAACAAATCTGCAGCGTGTGAAATTATGCAGATATCTTTTCTATAACGAAGGGAATTTGACATCAGGGGAAAAGCCACCATGTTCTGCCCTGAATAACCTGCACAATATACATCAGGCCACTGACCAGCAATGACTCAACTTCTCTCACTGTGATTTATCTCTGTGTGGTTTAATTTGAAATCCTGAGCCCAGCTAGGTGCACGGCTCTCCTATCACATACCTACCCTGCTACTTCACACTCTTAAACCCAGTAAATCTTTCTATAAACCAACCACTGTCATTACCTCGCTTGGTGGTCCTTTTAGAAACACAAACATCACTAGAAAGCACTTTTTTTTGCAAAATAGACCATTGCTACATTACACCCTTGAGCACCAAACTTTTTATAAGTTGAGGTGTTGCTACACTGTTTAGTAGCTCAGAAGCAGAAAACGGCTGGATCATTTGTCCTGCTCTTTCTTAGTCCTCATCATCAAGAACCCAACGCCAGCGATGCCAGGAAACCCCTTACCTAAGTCCACAGTTCCAGCCCTTTTCATTTTCTATCCTGCAGCTCAGAAGCGTAGCGGTGGCTTTAACTCAATAATCGCTTTAGTCCTTTCAGAAGACAGAAATAACCAGAAAGCATCAAAGTTCTGACATGAAGAATTTTGTTACGGGCTTGAGAGTCCGTTTATCTGAACCTGAAAATTCTCTAATGACCGGCAAAAGATCACTGCTGCATTTAAGATGAAAAATTCTGGTGGAAGAAAATTAAATTCTGTAGGGATCTGAATGCACACAATAAAAATATGTTTGTCTCAACCCCATTAACAGCATCAGCATAGAAACTGTGTCACTTATCTCCTACATGACCCCGACATTTTATTAAAAGCACCAACAGAGCAAAAAAAAAAAAAACACATAAAAATCTAAGACGAACCGAAGATCAGACGCAACATGCCGACTTAAGTTCAGTTTGGGCCTGCAGCTGTTATTGCAGGTGGACACGGCACGCAGCCCTCCTTCCCTCCTGGGGTCCAGACCAATGTACAGGTTGCAAATCCAGACAGGAAGAATATGTGTTTGTATAGTAACTATGAGACGATTCGTGGAGATAGCATTGGTATTAAAATGAAGAACAGAGCTGCAGGAGTCTCTCTCTCTCTCTGGGACAACAGTTTAGGTGAAGAATCCGCTTTAAATCTGCACCAAGTCTGGAGACTCTGGGATGATGTCTGAAAAAAAGAATAAAAAATGGTGTGAATCAGTGAGAACATAGAAAACCATCTACAAAAAATAGCACTTTAAGGTTTTGTTTTTTTTTGCTGACAGATACGACACGACATACGAAGGCGTTTGCACATTCAGCACTGCACTTCCTGCACTAATATGACAGAAACATGGCAGGAGGCAAATGACAGCATTTTGGGTCCTTTTTTTTTAACCGCATCAACTCAAACAGAGGCAGATCCAGACGGATAAAATTCACAGAATGTGTTGTATTCGCTGGAAACTGTAAAAAATAAAATAAAAGCAGAACAAAGAGGGCCAAACCAGAGTTTCAACACTATGCAGAAAACAGGGAAGTGTTGCAGGTTCAGATCTGCAAAGCAGAAAGAGGCAGGACCAAAGCTTATAAAAGAAGAAAGAAGTGACAGAAGTGTCGTCAGACAGCCTGTGTATTTCTGCAGGACATCTGGAGGAAATAAACAGCACCTGTCATGGAGGAAATCCTCCATGACAGCTGCTGAAGATAGAAGTTTCCAAAGTCTTCAAAGATTCGTGAGGGGAAAAAAGTAGCCGGTCGTTTTCTCACCAAAACAAATGAACTCCAGCGTTAAGCAAACTGTTTAAAAAGTCCGGTCATATTTAGAATTCAAACTTCTAAAAGGACTTTAAATATGAAATTATTACATACTGTTCAGTGTTTTTAATTCAGAGTAATTTCCATGTGAATGTGCTTTACTGGAGGCATCCATGTTTGTCAAAGAACACTACTGCCACCTACTGGTTTGTGACGTCTAGGTGCGGTATCGGCTGTTGATCAAGTCCCAGTGCTGTATCTGGTGTTTGTCACAACGCGCTATTATCCAAGTCACCTTGAAAACATTCTTCCAAATGTTGGCTACATTTTACGTGTTTTTTCTCTTGCCAGAAGTTTGATGGCAAATCCTCCCTCTTCAAGTTGGTGATCCAACAATGAACCCATGCATGGAGGATCATGAACCAGAAAGTCTAACTTTGTTTTTTTTCACTTTTCCCCGATGTATTCCAGCATCCAGCTGCCATGCACGTGGGCATTGTCAGTTTCACTATAGCTCTGGTGAATTTCAATGGTGAAGTCCTCTGGAAATCTTCAATAATTGTTGTTGATTGCAGATGTGTCTAGTAGTTCCCATTGATTTAGCTTGTAAAGCGGGGAGAATGGCGCTAGGCTTACCGCACGGTGACGTCACTGCTGGAAGATGGCAGGAGGGAGGGGTTACTATCAAAAATGGCCGCTCCCAGACTCTGTGATTGCTAAATTAACGCCAAATTCATTAAATCACCATAAGCGTATTTTCGTTTTAGGTATAGCTAATGATCCACTGATCATTCCTTGCTGAATGATCAACAAACAGGTTCAATCCATGAATCTTTTATGGCCTCTAAGATCTGCTGATAAATATTAGTGGCAGATGCTGCAGGACACCTCCAGGGCTCTGGTGGAGTCCAAGCCTTGTTGGGTCTCTATAGAATGATGTGCACAGTAAGATTAAAGGGATCATAGAATGTAAAGCCAAGTTTCCATTGTCATAGAGGGATAACGATAGCTCAGTGGGTGAAATGGACGTACAGAAAAGTTCAAACCCCATCGACACCTTCTTTTGCTGCAAATCTAACAATTCTAAACTTCCACGATAAAACGGGCGAATCCAAACAAAGCCCCAAGTTGACGTAAACTCGGGGATGTTGCCTTATTTGGTTCTGGCCTGTACTTTTGCCACGCCCAGAAATTTACATACAGACCAGCCCACTGGTTCACTGGCTCAATGGAGGGGGGGCGAATAAAGCGTCAACTGCTGGGCCGCTGACTGGACCGGATCTCAGCAGAGAGCTATGAGCCGTCTGTCCTCAGCCGGAAGAGGCGGACTGAGGGCCGGTAATGCAGGCCGGGGGAAGCACGGGGCTGCTGGTGTCCAGGCTACCATCACCGGGTTGGGTTTGGTCTCTCTGTCCCCCACTGGCTCCCTGCCCTCGTCCGCCGGGGATCCTGGACCAGCCAGGGAGCTGACGGCTCGGTTTTAGTACCTGGTGTGTTTCAACTCCGCGTTGCACTGTAGTCGACCAAAATCCCGGACGATTTTGAAATTCCTCCCTGACATTTTTTTAGGTATGAAAAGTAGGACATGTCCATGAAAAAGAGGACATCTGGTCACCCTAACATCTCAACAATTTCGATGTTGCAGTGAGTGAGTGCTTGCTGCTATGATACCTCTTTTCTCAGCAGCTTCGCTTGTAAACCAACCAATCAGAGCACAGCTCATCTAAATATTCATGAGCATACCATAAAAAGACAGAAAATCTCTTGTTTAATTCTAGGGCTTTTAATCGGGCTTGAATTAGGTCTCATAAAACAGCAAATATCCCATTTACAGCCCAACCAATGTTACACACCCTATTCAGAGACCTTAACGCCCAGCACCAGATACCCTATAGAATCATTCTATCACCCCTTTAATACACAAACTACTCGGATTGCCAATCATTTGCTAAACTGTCTTGTCAGCAAAACCTATGTGAGTCAGCAAGCATTAGTGTTGGCCACAGACCTCTGGAACATCCTGATTAAGTTTACTAGAACTGTTACAGGACTGTTTTTGGGGTGTTTTCATCATCTGAGAATTTTGTTAGGAAGTTCAGTAGTACAACTGAGCACGTCAGAAATGTCTGCAATGATATTAATGGACCCAAAAAATCCCCTGGAGCTGAACAATGGGACGGTCTAGATTCAGTCAAGAAAAGGAAAAGAAGAGGATGTCTGGAGAACAGAGAACATCATCTAATGAGAACAAACAGTCTCATTAGATGAGGTCCAACCATTCACTCTTATCAGCAGCAGTTTTAGAGAGTAAACATGCATTTTTGCATGACAGAGTATTTCAGCAGAGATGCATACTTGTACTGGATTGCATCAGTCACAGCGTAGATTTTGAAATGTAGAACTTTCTTAACCCAGCATTGTGTAAGGCTCTTGCATGATGCTGCACGTACCCTTCTTCATAGTTTGACTTGGAAAAAATTCTCAGCTTAGACTCAGGCTTAGTAAAAACGTTTTGATACTTTTCAGTTTACTTTCTACCAACGTCTCATAGCTTTAAATTAAGTTTATAAAAGATTAGCTGGAAATGGTGCTGTACTCTTATTTCAGTTCCCAGTCTTTTATGAAACAGGCAACAAGCCTGAAGCAGCTGATTTGATCTGTGATTCTGAAGAAAACTGAGCTCAGCCTAACTGAATGATTTAAAGACCCCACAGATGGGAAACATTATTATTATTCAGGTCACCTTTTATTACCTAAATATTATTATTTCCATTTTTTTTT